ACATTCACTCTTAGAGGGCAAGGACATCTTCCTTTGGTCTCTCATAATCACCAAGACAGCAATAAATATTTTTAATTGGTTGCGTTATTTTTTAAAATTAAACCCATAATTATCTCTACTCAGATTTTTTTAAACTGTCATTTTAGAGAACCAGCTATTTTCAAAACCACAAACATGCCACTCAAATAAAAGCCCATGTTAGTTACTGAATCTGTAAAAATGTACAAGAGGATTTTCATTCAACCCATAAATAATTATTTGTCATCTACACTGCAAAAATAATTATTCCAGCATAATTGGAGGTTGCAGTAAAGAACCAAATGTACATCCAAATTTGTGAAGTGTTATAAAATAATTTAATAGCCAATCAATTAAGAGGTGATTATAAGCAATTCAAAGAGATCTGAATCACGGATTTGGGGCAAGAAGAATGATCTTGCTCATTCAGTCTCTCATCAGAAGTAGATTAGTAAAACCAGAAAATCTGGGGCTCAAAAACCAGCAATAAATGAAACTATCTCAAAATCTACATAAAGGCTTTCTAATATAGTATGCATTGGTGGCAACAAGGAAGAGAAATATGGAGCAATAAATATTAGCCACTTCATAAAAATTGGCATCACATTTTACTATGTAACTACCCTATAAATGTCACTGAAGCTGCGAAAACATTGCATAGTAGAGTGCTACTATTAGAAATTATGACAACAAAATGTTCTCTTACAAGTTGGTTGGGCTATTTCTATGTATGACCTGAGTTCTAGACCAATGCCTTCTTCATGGCCCTGGGCACAGTACTTAATTTTTAAGAACCTTTGTTTCTATAAAGATGGTCACTTACTCACCAGGGTTATGAGAGCCAAATGACATCTGATACATGAAACTGTTAGTGATAAATTAGGTACCATCCCGAAGGTATTATTATGTTTCTTCTTTGCTTAAATATTAAATCAATATGCTTATTACATTAAACTTGTATTTTATTTTAAGGCATAGATATCTTCTGCTTGAAATTTGAGTAAAAATTCATATCAAAGAACAGGAATTAATAATAAAATCTCTAGAAGTAGTGTGGCCATATTTTAGCAATTTTCCTCCCCCAAATGAGTGTAAGCTCTATTTTATACCATTTAGATGCCATCATGTAACAAGTAGTTCTGACTTTCCGCTTATTCCAAGAACTTGTACAGGATGCTCTAAGTATTGTGTCCCCCAGAGCCTATTCTCATTCTCATTCACCCTGGGGAGAAAATGATCTGAAACGTTTTTTCCTAGAAAAGGTCATATGTAATTCTGAAATCTTTTTAATCTATAATCTCATGTATCTTTATTTGACTCAGGAAAATTATTTTTTCAGTTGTGACTTTTCCTCCATCTGTGACTTTTCTTCTTTCTAGGATTCCTATTATTCACAAGTTGAGTCTCCTGGATTTATCCTCCAACTATTTTACCTTAATATATGATTCATTAAACTTCCATCTTCCCAGAGTCTCCTGTCTACCCTTTCCAAAGTATTAGTCCTATATTACTCAGAAATATAGAAATATAAAACTTAGTTAGAAATACTACAGAATTTGAATAAGGTCATCTTCCAGTAGTACTAAATTTAGAGCAAAACACTTAATTTACTTTAATTATTGCATAATTAAAAAGACAAAAGAATATTCACAATAAATAAATATGGAAGTTATTAAAGGATGGTACAAACATTACAAGTTTAAATATTAAGGGGTTAAATTACCCCATTAAAAAAAGTTTCCTCAAAATTTCTTTTGAAATAGAACATCACCTCCATTACTTTCAAATAATGCAACTTCTACAAGCCACATTCAGCAATATCCTTAATTACAAAGTAAACACAGAATATTTTTTATCTATGTGTCATAGAATCTTACCAAAGCCTATAATCAGCTCCTTTCACTGATTTTTTCCCCTTGTCACTAAGGATTTGTGGCTGTAGAAGAGAATGTGGGGAGAAGGAGAGAATTATTTCTTCTCTGAGTGTTCATTCTTTAGAATCAGAGACTGTTGTGTTAATAATTGAGCACTGTAGTCAAAAGTAAATAGGAAGACACCTACATTTTTCATTGGAAAACATTTGTCTTAAAAAAAACATGGAAAAGCTGCTAGTACCTTTTAAATTTGCTCAACTTCTTGCCAAAGAACACCATTTGGGTGAATAGTAAGTTTCAGGGGATAATCAGGCACTTTACACACATGAGAACATCTGTAGTCACCCCAGGGCTACTAATCCTCCTGCTTCAGGGCATGGGCTGATCACCAGCTGGAAGAGAGATGATATTCCCTATGATATTTCTGTAATGTCAACTACATTCAGATTTTTATTTCCGTTCAAACACAACCTATTGGAGGGCTTTAAAGAACATTATGGCCAACTACTGCAACATGAGGGGGAAATATCAAAATATTTTAGAGAAATAAATTCAAGAAAATGATAAAGTCTCAGGGAAGGTAAACAGAATAAGCATAGAAGTTAACAAAAATCATTTTGGTATTTATCACATACAGAACCTGACAGTGGAGCTCAGCATTTGTTGAATGCATGAATGAATGAATGAACAAAGAAAGAAATCCCAGCCTCACTAATATTTGACCTTCAGTACTTCACTTATCCTCAATTTACTCATCTTTAAAATGGGGATAATTGTACCCATCTCCTTTCGTTATTATAGATATTGAACTAGATAATGTATATAAATAAATAAACTCATTGCCTGGAATAGTATGAACACTAAATAAATAATAGTCATTTAAATCTCCTGTGATTGATTTAGCTGATTCCTGACCAAATAGATCTAACACTTAAATCATCTCAATGTATTTCATGACAGATCAAATTTTTGTATATTGACTATATTCTAAATCTTCATTCTATTGATTTTCTGTGAAACCAACAGGGTATTACACCACAGACATTCCCTAAGACTGTATTTTACTTGAACTAAGCATAAGCTTCCTGCTAATAAACAGACCTCTTAGATGGTGTCTTAGTCTGTTCGGGCTTCTGAAACAAAACACCACAGACTGGGTAGTTTATAAACAACAGAAATTAATCTCTCAGAGTTCTGGAGTCTAGGAAGTACAAAATCAAATTGCCGGTAAATCTGGTATCTGGTGAGGGTCTGCTTCCTCACAATGGTGGTTTTCACATGGTAACCTCACATGATGGAAGGGGGCAAGAGATCTTTCTTGGGCCACTTTTATAAGGGCATTAATCCCATTCATGAAGGCTCTGCCAAGGGCCACACCATCACCTTGGGGGTTAGGATTTCAAGATACGAACTTTGGAGAAACATAAACATTCAATCCATAGCAGATGGTATACTGTGATAAAGTTCAAACTCATAAAAAGAGTAACAGCTGCTCACCTTGAAACATCCAAAGCACTGACCCAAAGGCTACTACAATTGGCCAAATACATATAAAAGTCATTTAAAGGCTTGTAAATTATGGATGCTACTGACACTCCTTTCTAACAATTTATTAATAATTACTTTTTTTATTAGCAAGTTCTCTTGGGATCTATAAATTACAGATATCCTGCAGATACAGGTAATGTTCCAAACTCACATGAAGAAATTCAGTGTCTGTAAACAGAATACATACGCCTTTGGATGCTCTGGACTCAACTAGTTAAAAGCTATGTTAAAAATAAATCACAGAGCATTTGTGATAAGCATAACCTGAAATAACAGTGAGAACTGTTTTTCCCCCAGTGATCACGTGCTGTTCTCATTGCAATTGAAGGTGTTGGAAAGATAACCTAGTTTACAGGACTATTTCTCCAAGGGCAGGGTTATAAGCAGTCTTTTTCTTTCTTTCTTTTTTCTTTCTTTCTTTTTTTCCCCCTTTCTTTCTTTCTTTTTTTTTTTTTTCTTCTTCTTTCTTTTTTCCTGCACAGTAAAGTGATTTAAATGAGCTGCATGTAATCAAGTTATCTCTTTTTTGGAAGATGGAAAATTGGAAGACTTGTTAGAAATTGGAAAGAAATTTTGTCATTTACTTCATAAATCACTCAGCCAAAGGCAGGCAAGTGCTACTTCAAATAAGTTACTACAGAATGTCACAATGCCACTTAAAGATTGTTTGTTTGTTTGTTTGTTTTGGTCCTCCACCATCAAGTCAACAGTTCTGCAAGGGACAGGACCAGTTATCTCCAGCAATGTTCGGGGAGAGCGAGAAGAAGGGTTCTTAATACACGAGGTCTGACACTATAACTAGCCGCCCACCAACATCACCACCCCAAGCATCGCGCTAGAAGAAACAGAACCCAGCATTCTGGAAGCTGTGGTAGATGCTCGGGCCACACAACACGGAATAATGCTATTTGGAGTCACTCGAGACTGTGCAGTGACAACGTAATTCATCTAGAGATAGTTTACTAAACCTTGGGCACTCAGAGAATAGACAACCCATTTCTGCCTCAAGTAAACCAAAGGCTCTGGGGGCCTTGTGAAAGCTCAGCCAGGTTCTGGGAGCCTGTGGGAACACAGCTTGGGGTGGAGGAGAGGTGGGGAGGTGGAGGGGGGTGGGGGGGCGGGGAGTCGACGAGGGGCAGAGGCTCTTTGATGTGAAGAGGGTAGATACAGAAGCACGTTCACACCGCACGGTACAGAGCCGCTGCGCCGAGGCTGAACTGAAGGCGTGAAATGAAGGGGACAAAGATTTTAATTCATATACCGAGGCTTTACATCAGTCACCTAGTTTAAATCTCATGACACTAGGAAATCGATTATCCGTCCCCTTTCAGACGCCAGGAACTGAAGGGGAAAGAAGCGGAGAGACCCCCACCAGGGCTCACGGCCTCCGCCGTCGGACACCCGGGATGCGGGATGGCCAGGGGCCGGCTTCGGCGGGCTCTTGAGAGGGAGAACCGCCCGGCGGCCTCGCGGAAACCCAGGCCCTAGTGAGGCGCCAGCGGCGGAAGGAGAAGGGAGGTCTCCGAGCGGCGCAGCTCTCGCTGAGGGGAGGCCGGCGGCAAGCGCCAGCCCCCTCGCCGCGGGGAGGGGTTTCTCACGCCCCGCTCTTGGGTAACTGCGCCGGAGGTCGGAAGGAAGCGGGGCGAGGGATGAGTCACCCGCCTAATTCCTCCTTCCCGGTGCCCTCGCCTCCGCACGCCGGCCCCCTCCCGAGATCGTGCAGCCAGGAGCGAAGATTCCCCTCATCCTCACTAAACCCCCTGCGGCCTGCAGAGGAGAGGAGAAGGACGGGGCGTGTGGCCAATGAGATTTCCCCTCTCCCTACCGCCGTCCAATAGGTCGCTGTTTACAGGCCGGGGCGGGACGAGGGGAGCAGGATGGGGTGGTCTCGGGCTGGCGCGCGGCTCCGCGGTTCGGTGGCTCACAGAGAGAGCGCCTCACAGGGAGTCGGCGCCTAGGCGACGCGGGAAGGCGCCACCGCCACTGCCACTGCCGCCGCTGCTGGCCAAGGTGCTGGACACGACAGGCCTCTCGGCCACCTCGTCACCTCAGGCACCCGTTGCAGCTGCCGCTGCTTCGCTCCCAGCCCGGTCCCCATGGAAGAGATGGAAGAAGAGTTAAAATGCCCCGTATGCGGCTCCTTCTATCGGGAGCCCATCATCCTGCCCTGCTCTCACAATATATGTCAGGCGTGCGCCCGCAACATCCTGGTGCAGACCCCAGAGTCGGAGTCCCCTCAGAGCCGACGGGCCTCGGGCTCCGGGGTCTCTGACTATGACTATCTGGACCTGGACAAGATGAGCCTGTACAGCGAGGCGGACAGCGGCTATGGCTCCTACGGGGGTTTCGCCAGCGCTCCGACTACCCCGTGCCAGAAGTCCCCCAACGGTGTCCGTGTGTTCCCCCCTGCTATGCCGCCACCGCCCACCCACCTGTCACCGGCCTTGGCCCCGGTGCCCCGCAACTCCTGTATCACCTGCCCCCAGTGCCACCGCAGCCTCATCCTGGATGACCGGGGACTTCGCGGCTTCCCCAAGAACCGCGTCCTGGAAGGGGTAATTGACCGCTACCAGCAGAGCAAAGCAGCGGCCCTTAAGTGCCAGCTCTGCGAGAAGGCGCCCAAGGAAGCCACCGTCATGTGCGAACAGTGCGATGTCTTCTACTGTGATCCGTGCCGCCTGCGCTGCCACCCGCCCCGGGGGCCCTTGGCCAAGCACCGCCTGGTGCCCCCGGCCCAGGGCCGCGTGAGCCGGCGGCTGAGCCCGCGCAAGGTCTCCACCTGCACAGACCACGAGCTGGAGAATCACAGCATGTACTGCGTGCAATGCAAGATGCCAGTGTGCTACCAATGCTTGGAGGAGGGCAAACACTCCAGCCACGAAGTCAAAGCTCTGGGGGCCATGTGGAAACTGCACAAGGTGAGTCCTAAGAAAACCCACTCGAACTCCCCGCGCCTCCAGTCATCCGGTTTTGCAGCATTCGTTCCCCTTCTTTTGAGCACAGTGCATCCCAGCCGGGGCGCAGTGCAGGTGCCTCCAATATCTGCTTCCCCCGTCTGGTGCATTGCAGGAAGCGCAGGGGGACCTTAAACGGTGCACAGGGGAGTTGAACATCTCCAGAGAGTTGTTGCGAGGATGCGTAGAGCGGGTCTCGCCTGGGTGTCGCCTGGCGCAGGGCTCCCCCTACCCGCCGCGGATGTGCAGCTCTAGGCCGCCACCAGCGTGCGGTAAAGCAATGCATGACTGGGAGGACCCGCGGCAGTGCTCAGGGCCGCCTGGGACACTCCGGGCAGGTTGTAAGGCTCCGGCCGCGGTCCCCTAGGAGGAGGTGGGGGCGGTTGGGCGGCGCAGACCGCTGGGATTTGGAGCTGCTGGATAGGCTGGAGCTTGGAGTCGCGGCGGGGCGGGGACAACGCCGAGAGCGGAATACAGATGAGTCGGAGCTGGCCCAGACCCTGTGTCCGCGCTGGAAAGGATGCGGGTCTGGGTGCTTTGCGCTCAGGAGGCAAACGTGTCGGGAGTGGGGAGGAGGGGGGAAAAGGGAAACATGTAGTCGCCATGGCAACACGGCCTGAAGGCTGTGGCCCTGACCCTACCGGAGAAGATCTGGACTGGAGCGGCAGGACTGGCGGTTTCAGAGCTGTCGAGGCCCGAAAGCTAGGCAGGTGCATCTTCCCGTCTCCCAGGGGAAACCCCTCCTGCCGATTACCCACACTTATGTTTATCCAGGATTCAACCCTTTTCCCCTGTCAGTAGTTGTCTGTGCAAACTTTGAGACACTTGTTTCCAAATTTCCTTCTGATCTCTTTTGACGGTGCCTCTGCCAAAGCTAGCTTCAGGAACAGTGCCTTTAACAACATGTTAAGTCATGCCACTCCTCTGTTCAAAATGCTCCAATTGACCCCCACTTTTCTTAGATGGTCCTTAAGATGGTCTACCAGGACCTTACATGACCCATTCCCCTTTGGCCTCATGAACCTCGTTTCCTCCCATTACCTCTGCTTCAGCCACAATGCCTCTCTTGCCGTTCCTCAACCAACACCAGGCCCCTTCTGGTCCCAGGGCCTTTGCATTTGATGCTCCTTCAGGCTGAGACCAATAACCTATATCTGAATCGTTTAATCTCTCGTCTTCTTCAGATCATTGCTCAGATGTCACCCTTACAGTGAGACCTTTCTGATCCTCTTAGTTCCCTCCCTGCTTTTTCTTATCACTGACTGGCATGCTATATATTTTAATTGTCATGTTACTTTCGTATTTATATATTACTCAACCAACACACTTACATGAAAATAAACTTAATGAGGAAAATCTTTATAATGCTATTGCCCACACTGCTTAGAAGAAAGGAAACTACTCTTGAGAAGATGTACATGAATTTGACTTCCACTTTTTAATAATCCACTTAATTGGAGGTGCAAAGCACAGGGCAGGGGTTCAGGACTATCACAGGGAGGTTTTCTTCACATCATTGAGTTGCAAGCCCAAGGATGAGGTGGGGTGGTAGACGTGGTGTTCAGGCCTCAGCTGTGCCTCTCTCACAGTTTCCCAGCATTCCTTGGAGACTAGACAGGCTAGCCTTTGAGAGAGGCCCTGGGGTTAAGGCTGAAACATTGATATTTTATTTACAGCAAGAAAAAATAAAACATCACCATTTTCAGTAATGGGGGAGCTCTAACGTTTAATTTTAATATTAATTGAACATGATCTATGTTTATAGTCATTTGTGTTCTCGCATATAACCTATTAAACCACATTAGTACTGATGGAGACAAGTCAGCACAAATTTGAATCCCCTAGGCACATGCCCCTAATTTTCAAATGCTTTAATTGAAAAATTTTTAATGATACTTAATTTTGAACTTTTTCAAAACTTTTTAGTTCATGGCCAATTTTTTCTTCATAAATGATTTCACTCTTAAACTGCTAACTATAGCCTATGTTAAATGCCCTACAAAACTATCCTTGGAACTAAGAAATTAATCACCCTGTCTGGAAAAAAAACTTAGAGGCACACTCTAATTGCAGTGGTCAAACCACAGCATTACTTTTCTGTGAAGAAGAACCTATACTTCATCCATTAAGACCAAAGGCAACTTTTAAATCTCTGTCAAGCCCTGTGCAGATTTGCAATGTTAAACCATTTGTTTTATTGGTAATGGACGTTGTGAGTAGGTAGTGTGTTATGGATAGGGTTGCTGTCTGCTAAAAAAGATTTAAAGCCCTTGAGACATGACATAAGTAGGCTAGGAAGGGACTATTGGTTCATTTTTTGAAAAGGCCATTTCTTCTCTGATCTTTGGGCACATTTTTTCAAAATAGTAAATAGTCATAATTTTGTCCAGTCAATATCTAGATTATTAAACTGCCAAGAAATAATAAGGCGGAAGGATGACAGATTTTAACATTCATTTATCTGTTAGAAGAACAACAAACATTACTCCCCGACCTTCTCTCCTTCATAAGGTAATGTGTTAACATTCAATTTTTTTATATAATCTATTTATCTTCCATCCTCATAAAAAGCTCATGAGCCGGAATTTCTATGCCCTTCAAAACACAGGACAGCAAAGAATTACACTAAGTAGTTCTCCTAAATTTGGGCAGTTAGTTATTAACACCAGTTATCACTAGACCTGAAAGTTTTCGTTAATATTTAGTCATTTCTAGTGATAAGGAAGACCCTGTGAATAAATGTTTCCCTCAGGCACTAAGTCATCGATCTTACACATTCAAGGCAAAGTGGCTGAAGTTTATCTTTTAAGTGGTTTTAAAAACAACTGGTTGAAATTCATTAGTTGTCAATTGACCAAATTAAAATACCTTTCAGATATATGTGGCCTTCAAAGTCCATGAAAAACAATAATGCAGGAAGTTGTCTTATAAGACAGATAGCTGGTAACACTTTTTATTTAGTATCAGCACTTGTTCTGTTCCTTAATTGAACTTAGGTTGGTATAAAAAATTGCTCAACACACCAAAAAAAGATTCTGTAGACACTTTCATATAAGCAATTGGAATCATTATTATGACTTTGTAGTTTTAGTAATTCATATTTCTAACTCTAACATTATCCTTGAATTCCTGGTATTTTATCAACCACTGAATCAGTAATATATTTGTAACCATTCCTTTGTGTTTGTACTGTTGAGCAAGAATTTTCTTTTATCTTTCTACCCTAAACACTGGCTATTCATTGTGAATCTTATCTCAAATGTTAATTTCTCTTACCTTCTTTTTTTAAAACAAAGATTTGCAATTTAAACGTTTTAAAATAAATCATCAGTTATTATGCTTTCATCGTCAAAGTATTATGGGAAAAATTTCCATAATTTTTTAACTGCTTTGTAGTATGGTGGCATCTCATCAAACATTTGTGTAGCAAAAATGTTATTTAATATAACTAAAGTGGTGTTCAGAATATATATTATATATGTGTATATATACACACACATATATATATACACGTATATATATGTATATATCAGCAGTAAACACAATATAATCTAGATATTCCTGTGGTAATTGTAAGGGGTAACATATGTTCATGTTTTGTAAAATTTTTAAAAAGTTTACTTCTAGTGTAATTAGACATTCTGTGTGCAATGTAAACATTCTTACAGGTATTAAGGAGAATGTTACAGAGAAATGAATTGTTGCCCTTTGTACTGAGACAAGATAGAAAGAGCTATATTACAGGAGATCTGGGTTCTTGATCTGATGCCACCACTTATTACTTTAACTTTAAGTAAATCTCATAACCTTTCTGTGCTTCCTACTCACAGGACATAAGGTAGTTAAAACTATATTTGGGAAATATTTTGAAATAATTTGAAAAAAATAACTTAAGTGTTTATAACTTACTAATTTCAGTTTGGCAAAATAGAAAGTTTTTGCATAAAACAGAAGTTATTATCATACTAATCAATAGTTACTGCGTAAAAAAAAATCTCATCCCCCAGCTTGGGATACTTTGCTTGCTCCTTTCAGAGCACGGGGTGTAGTACAAAGGCTACTCTTGACAGTGGCCTAAAAGAATGAGCCATATCCTCATGGATCCTCAGAGAATAGTCAGTTGAATTAAGCTCAAGGAACAGAACACTACACCTTTGTATATTAAACAAAGGTATTTTGTTTTTCAATAATAAAGCTAAAATGATAACTGGTATGACTTTTTTCTAATGCTCTAATGAAGTTATTATTATCACTGAGAAGTAGTAGAAATTGTTCCTTCTGTATATACCATTAAAAGATGCTATGAAGTGTAATTTCAGATCAAATCAATTTTCATAAAGTATGAGAAAATTGTCACAGCTATCTGTCATTGATTAATAAGAATAATGCACAAGGAAAAATTACCCTAACCATGAATATAATACATTGCACTTCTCTCACCTAAACACCTTCCAAAGTGTGTGTATGCATATAACTTAACCCTGGCACAGAGGAGACTAGAACCTATTATATCGTAGATGTTTAAGAACAAAATAATTCTAAATAATATAGTTTTTAATCAGTTTTGTCAGGGATTGTTGGTTGTAAGAAACAGAAACCCACGTAGGGGATCTCAGAGGACTTCATGTGAAATAAAATCAACTCACAAGGAGAAGACAACCTGAAAACTAGAGATTAAGTTCACTCTCTGTGTATCAGTCAGCTTGGACTAAGTTATGCTGCAATAACAAACAATTTCCAAGTCTCAGTGAATTACAACAACAGCACATAATTTCTTCCTCCCACTAATGACCACTGAGAGTTGGCTGCGGCACTTCTCCACATCCTTCTTATTCTTCAACTTAGGCTGAAAGAACATATTTGGAATATGCCAAAGTTATTGTAGAGAGACAGGAGCAAAGCAGAACCACTCAATGGTACTTACAGTTTCCCCTCAGACATGCTATGTCACTTCTGCTTACATG